CATGTGACATGTTAACCTTTTTAATGACATGCCCACCTTCTTTTAAGTTTTGCTTTTAATGTAGTTAAGGCAATTTGGAATTGGTAAGAAACAAGGTGAGTTGAATTCACCAATGAGTTGGCTGAATTCACTGGTCACTGGTTCAGACCAAAGTTTCTCAAGGTTTATCAGCCAAACATTGTCACCAAGTCATCTGGCTGCTTTTAAATATCCAGATCCCTGGGCAGCACCTAGACATTGTGAACCAGAACCTCTGAAGGTGGATTTTAGGAAGTTATATTTTACGACAGGCTTCCTTAGAGATCCTTGTGTTTAAGAAGATAAAAAACCTATTGATACACATGGATAAACAATTTTAGTCATCTTAACGATTCTGCTATACTTATAGTTTTAAATCCCATTTCAATTAAAACTATTTAAGTGAATCTATTTCTTTGTTATATTAATTTGTAAATCATAGTAATCTCCTTTGTTTGAACGTTTCTTTAGGATACTTGAATCAGTTTACTTGGATCATAATTCACCCCCTTTCATCACTACATGTTATTCAAATAACATACTGTTGAAGTTTGTGATAATCTCTAATACTGTTAACCAATAACTTATGGAGATTATGTTTTCACTCAATGGTTGTATAAGAATAAGATGTTTTCATCCAATAATAAGATTTTTTTCACAAAATTATAGAAATAAAGTTAATATTAAGCAGAATAATCACATTCTGAAAACTAATATTTAAACTACCTAATACTATACCATTTAAATTTGGTATTCACAAAGAGAATAGCCTTCATTTTAAGGTAAATGCCTTACATTTTGAACCATTTAGGTAACAGTTATGGAATCTTTAATGTTATTCAATGTCTTCATTTATAAAGATGTCATTAATAACCTTATTATCATATGAAAATTCCTCAAAACTATCTTTCTTTAAGTTGTGGTTGGACACAATACCTTTATTTTATTTATCTATTTTTATATGGTGCTGAGGATGGAACCCAGGGTCTTGCATGTACGAAGCAAGCACTCTGCTGCTGAGCCACAACCCCAGCTCCAAAACTATTTTTAAACATCATTGTAGTTGCTTCACACAAATATATATTAAATATAAGAGAAAATTCATCAACTATCCTATTTATGGCAACAACACTTGTTTGGGGGTTCTTACTGAAAATCAAAATACCTTGCTGAATTTCCCTTTTCTGACCTACCTAAATTCCTCATTCACTATCATAACATCTTATATGATTTCCTTTGGAGCAGTTATCGCTGAGGTTTTTGTTCTCATGCATTTATTTACTTACTTATTATCTGTCTCCTTCACTAAAGTGCAAGGTTTAAGAGAGTAAATAGGGCTGAGGTTGTGGCTCAGTGGTAGAGTGCTTGCCTAGCATGTGTGAGGCACTGGGTTCAATTCTCGAGACCACATATAAATACATAGGATAAATAAATAAAGGTCCATGGACAACTAAAAAATATTTAAAAAAGAGAGAGAGCAGGTAGTATTATTGTCTTATTCATCACATTTTCTCAGCATCTAGGACAGCACCTGCTAGACTACTTGAAAAGATCTGTCAGCCAACTGATGGACATAGTAAATCAATGAATTCAAATTCTAAAACAAGTGGCAACTGAGACAAAAGCAGAATCATTTCTTACTTTATACTTTGGTTTTACTATGAAACTAGGATTACTAAGGTCTACCTTTAGTAAGTGTTGTTATCTAAGCATGATTTTTAGAAAAAAAAAAACCAGAAATAACATTCACAAACGCATGTGACGTTCCCATGACACACATGCCAACCACTCTCTTGGTTCTTAAAAAATCTTTGATTAACGAGAGACAATATCATAAAGTGCAAATTTCTTAACTGTTGAGGCTTCTTTTACGATTTTTTTCTTTATAATCCAGGCCTCACTGATATATTATATTCATTTTTATAAAAGGAAACAAATCAAAAGTTCTCATGTAATAACATCTACTTTTGAAGGACAAGAAACTAGCACATAGTTGTGAATGAAATAAATATTATGTTTTAACCGTATTATTAAATCAAGTTCTTAAAATATATTTCCTTTTTCAGAATTAGGTATCTGGACGATATGAAGGGAATGTGTCATTTTTAAAAATAGCTCAATCTGTTTAAATTCTGACATAAAACAGGATTGGTTACCATGGACAAGAATTCCTAAAAGACGAGAATGTCTTGGTGAGAAGGTGCCATAAATTTCTTAACACTTTACAATGGCATGTTGCTTTCATGTGATTGACCAAGTTAAAGAATTCAGGTCTGTGCTCCCAGAGCAGGCTAAAGACAGACTCATGCTGAGGATGAACCAGGGCAAGGACCCCAAACTAGACCTGAATCGGGGAGCTAGTTTACTGGGAAGCATGAGGCTGTTGTCCTACATACCTCTCCTCTGCTTAGGTCACGCTGCCACCTTGACGACTCCCCACTGCAGAAGCCGTCAAAGATGGTCAGCAAGTTCAACACGGGGGATGTGAACACGAGGTTCATCATTCTGAAGCGTACAGTGGAAGAGATGGGAAAGGAAGTGGGGGAAGAGAGCCAGAAGGTGTGTATGGGGAAGTGCTGGTTGTCCCTTGTGAAGTGGTGTGGTTGGTTCTAAATGGTATGAAATACTGAAGCGATCCAAGACCAAGACCACTTCTGAAGCTATGTTGGTTTTCCTTCAGGTATTTCTTCTATCTCGAGGATGGGTGAGGAGGTCTGGAAAGCTGTTTATATAGTAATGATGTTTATAAATAGCCCCATTCAAATATTGACCGGGTTGAGTTCTAAATATGAGACACAATTTTATTCTGCTTGTAACTCATCAACAATCTTTTTTTATATCTTTTTGGCTTTTGGGTAGTGAATTCCAACAGTTTACCACCCATAAAGTAAAACATTCTTGCCTTTACTTTGCCTGATGAACACTGCTTTCACACTCCATGAGGTACAGGTAGCCTCCTGCTCCCAATCTTGGATTTCACAATCAGCTTTTAGAGCCAGTACATAGTGGGTGCTTACAACCATCTCTGTCTGTATCTCGCAGTTTGAAGCTTTATTACAGATTCCTCCGTGAAATGTTAAGCATTTCGAGGTCAGGGACTCTTGTTCTACATCTAGATTCCAGTACCTTCCCTAGCACCTCACAAACGGAAGACACTACAAAATCCTCATGAATGAAATTGAATGTGGTTTAGTCTCTTAAGAGCATTGATTTTACATACTCTTTCTGACCTTATTGCTTCTCTTTTTTAGAAATTCTAATGTGTGAAATGTTTGTGTAGGAAAATACCGTCAGAATCCAGACCCACTTCTCTCTGGGGCAGTTTATAACCCCTCTTACTAAGTCTCTGATGGGCTTAGACTAGAGCTCTAAATAGTATTATAATTTGGACGTAAATTAGAAAGGAAGATGCTCTGCTAGGTTTCAAAAACAACGTTGGGCTAAAAAAGTTGGCCTTTTTAATCATAGCAGTAAATTATTATGCAAAATATCATAATTTTAGCCAAAATTCATCAATCACATTATACATACTACATACAGGAAGCCACTCTATGAGCATTTTCAATTATTTCTCTTTGTTTTGAAGAAAATAGCTATTTTCTATCTGTACAAAATGTAAAAAAAAAGTATTAAATGGGATTAATAACTGGATACTTAAAAGTAGACCGAATAATAAAAATGGCATTGGGCTGCACTTCAGAATCATATATCAGGGCAATGGATAAATCCTCAAACAAAATACTTCAAAGCAGCCATTATATAACAGTTGATAACCCTGAAAAGCACTTCAGTCTTAGGAGTCCTTTAAAAGCTTCATTCTCTATCCACTGCTATTATATTTCACTGCCATTCTGAAGAAAATGAATGATTCTAATCTTGGATTTCACAATCAGCTTTTAGAGCCAGTACATAGTGGGTGCTCAAAACAGCTCTAATGCAGATTATTGTGTAATTATGGTAAAGGCCAAAATAATATAATTAATCTTAACCATTTTGCCAAATTAAAGTGTCTTAGGAAAAACACAAAACGAGGCAACATGTACAAGCACATGCAAGATTTTATAACTAAGTGTTTTCTAAAACTGGAAAGCAGCAAATGTCAAACCTGTAAAAGTCACTGAACCACAACTTTGAACACAAGCGGGAACAAGTGTGAAGAATACCTCCTATTTACACTTATTATCACGGAGGGGTTTCATTTAGTTGCCTTCTCTCAGTAAGTCACTAAACACACAGCATGTTTACCATTTGAAACCTATAAAGCCAATTTCGAACCTAATCATCATGGCTGCTTTACCTGTAGGCTTCTTGGTCTCAAGGACCACGACTTTTATTCCTTGTGTCACCTAGCACCTGTGCTCCCTGCCCAGAGAGCAGTAAATAGTGACAACTTGATCACTGTCATGTGGCTTGGACAGAATACCCTCAAGTAATTACACCACAGTGACAACCACTGCTTTACAAAAATGGAATAACTCAGGGCTCAGCACAGCCTAAAGACTCTCTCTATATATAACAGAATAGCTCTGCGCAGGGCAAGCCTGCCTCCCCCACCTAGTAAAAGAGAGCATTTGCTTCCTATATAAATTATGGTATAAAGTAGGATGGGTGATTTGAATGTTATAGATATTAGTAATTAAATTGAATGAAATAAAACTAAAACTTGTGATTGCCTCGCTCATGACACTAAGTGAACCACGAGTACTTTCAGTGAATTAAAGCTGATGGAAGTGATAGAACTTGTTAATAAATTCTGACACTGTCGAACGACACAAATGTGTCCATCATATGTTAATGGCATGGCATGCTAATGACACTAAGTCTATCCTTCCATAGAAGGGAGTTTTATTTCCAAAATATTTACCCAGGCTGAAGGGGGCAGAAGAAGGATGCGTGAGGTATAGGTGAGCATCCGAAATCAATTCACATGCTTCTGTTGGCTAAACGTGGCCATTTTAAATTTCTATATTATTTAGATTAAATGTGACAAAGATGCATATCAAGCAGCATTTGATTCTCTTTAAAGTGATCCTTATTGGAACAGATTTATTTTCCCCAAACCTGAAGTGATTTCTCTTATCCCTAGTCAGAAGCACAGACGCCTGCCTGAGAACTGTATTGTGAATTCTTGTAAAGGATTTCTTTTTTTTTATCCAGATGACAAATACTAACCTTAAGGTTGGACAAACAGTTGTTAAGAAAAACATGCCACCTATTCAGGAACAGCTGCTTCTGACTGACGCAGAGCAGACAGGTCACCAGGGGGTACAAGGCCTGAGAAGAAAGAAGACGAGATCACAGAATGATATTTCAATGAATCAGGTAACACATATTTTCTGTACCAATTACTTCACCATCTCCCTCTGCCAGCAGGGTTTGAATAAGTTGGACACTAAGTTACACAAGGCCTAATGGGTGTCCAGTGGAGGTGGGCATTTTGCAGATACTTTCTGATAATGCAGGGGATGGAATCATCTAGAACTATGGATAAAGTATAGTGATATGCTTCATGTATAAGAACAGAGAAATCTGATTCACTTAAGTAGTCTTCACTTAGGAACCTTGAAAACAAATACCCAGCAAATGTGCTGCCTGCCCAGAGAGCAGTGAACAGTGACCAACTGATTACGGTCATGTGGCTTGAAAAGAATACTCTCAAGTAATCACACCACAGTGACAACTACTGCTTTATAAAATGGAGTAACTCAGGGCTCAGCACAGCCCAAGGATGACTTTTCTATATATAATGAAGTAGCTCTGAGCAGGGCAAGCTGGCCTTCCACACCTAGTAAAAGAGAACACTTACTTTCTGTCACTATATGAGTAAACCATTGTTTTGGATTTTCTCATGGATCCTAACCAAGATACTAACAACTCACCATCTTAGGTCACTGCCAATCTTGGGGGTGGGGGGGAAAGAGCAGGAAGGCATATTAATTTTGAAAATGTTACTGGCTTTTTCACTTATAAATATCTACTTGTTTGTCCCTGTCTTAGAGGTAGGTATATATATTTTCTTTTGCATGCAATCCTCCTGTAATTAAGGAAGATTCCTAAAAGAAATGTTATTACATTGGTAAACTCCACTAAGACAAATTTAACCACAGAGGAATTTGCTTATGACCAAATAAACAGAGGTGCTACTGTGCTTTTCCTGCCGAACTGGGCCAATTTCCCACAGCAACTAAAGACATAAAAGCTAATGGGCAGCCACCCAAGAAACACATGCAGAACTCACTACCATTTTGCTAAGCCAGATCTTAGATACCTTTATGATTCTCAAAGAACTCAGGCTGGCGAAGATTTAAACAAAAGCATAACTGGCTTATCTATTAACTTGAACTAGCAAGAAACATATTGCCAGAGATGAGATTCAGTGCTTGGCAACTCATTAACTTATTTTTTCTTCTTCTTTAAATTAGCTTAGCTTTAAAGGGCTTTGAACTACTGTTTCCATTGAATGCAACTCTGATGCCAATCACTAGTCTTAAAAAAAAAAAATGCATCAATTAGTCACAGTGACATTGGAATGTGGACAAATGAGCCAATTTGTTATCACTACCAGAAAAGCAACATGCTCAGCAGTGTCTATACTTGTAAACTGGCCTCAACCCTACTAAACAACCATCTAAACAGCCATCTAAACAACCTATTTCCTCCACACTGTCCTGATTGCCCTGGCACACTACATGCCAATTTGTAAACCAGAGCTTTATTTACTGTGGAGGGTAATCTGCTTCTTTTCAGTACAAACCCTCCCCAGGAACTGCTTTCCCTTTCATCAGAGAACCTCGCCTGGGGGCCACTATTTCCCATCCCCGATTTTCTGCCTACTTCAATTCTGATCCTGAATGTCAGGATAGGAGTTACCCAGTATATAGGATCCTGGGGATTGAGAAGAGGAACTTCACAAACTTTAGCTTTTGGATTGGGGGGAAAAATAATCCTTGGAAATTTAAACAAAAATCATATTAAGCCAATCTTAAAAAACAAAGAGCAGAATCCATAGAACCAGAAGGGTCATCGGAGGTGACACAGTCAAATCCCCTTCTAGTACCGTGATTCACAGTTGATAATCAATGTAAGCTTGAAAGTTTGAAAGCCTTTATGAGGGAGTCAGTCATAGGTAATTCTTCCATCTGTGGCATTCTTATACAAGGATTCTACAAATCAAATAGATTTCTGCCTGGCAATTTTAATCTCTGCAGTTTTGTTTGTGTTTTGAATTTTCTCGTAGATACTAACCAAGGAATGCTTCTTTCTAGAAGAAAGCTCCAGAGTGGTATCATATAGGCTTTCCACGAAGTTTCTAAGGCAGGGAACATTCACTTCATTTTTAACAGCCTGAAACAGAAGTGCATGTGAATATTCTATTATTGAGACTGTTAAGTCTGTCATTCAGTTTGAAGACGTTCTTAGAAAGGGAAAGGGTAACTCACAGCCGCAACTGGGACAAGGATTTCCACAAAGAGTCCAGCCAAGGCATGTTTGATATCTTTGTCTTTGACTTCAAGGAAATAATGGGCACATTCCTACAAAGAAGAAAGAAGGATTGAAAAGTACATGTAAAATGTATTTAAGCAAACTTGATGGCTCTTAATCATACGTACCAACACCGGCCTATTCTGTAATCTATTTAAAGATCACTGGATCAGACATTTGTATCAAGTCGAAAGGTTTACAAGGGCCTCAGTGACGTTTCACAAGGCTGGTTTTCTCTCTTTCCTCCTATATCTAGTTCAAGCCACTCTTGTGAAAGGACAAAGCACCTACAACCAGTAAGCACACATTTATCTTCTGGATTACTGGCTGGTTCGTTCATTCATTCATTTCCAATAAGGGTCTGTAGATCACTTACCCTGTGTGGGGGCCTGCACCCTTGACTAGGCTGCAAACACAGATCCCCAGGGAGGGAAAACGTGGGAAGACAGGCTGAAGACAGTAAACTTATTTTGGGCCCGGTGCCGGATGGCCTCGGGTGCAGAGCTGTTTACTTGCTCTGACATTTTAGGTGTGTTTATTATTCAGATCGTTTCATAAGCAAGTCTGGAATGCCTCCCTTCCCCACCTCATACAAGGCTTGGTGTGGTTCCCACAGCAAGGATGTCTCTGCAGGTTGCCCGGGGACTTGTCCTATAGGAAAGGAGGCCTTCCTTGAGCACTGCCAGCCTTCTCTCCTCCAGGCCTTCTGCTAGTGCTTCCTGTGGTCTCTGCCAGGCCCTATTTCCATCCAAGAATCCAGGCTACACATATTTCATGACATACTAATTTCCACATTAGCTCTCACCCTTTATCAGAGTTGCAATTGGGAAGACGGGCAAGAACAGCTGCTAAGGTCCTCAGTCTACCAACATCCTATTACAACCTCAGCTCTGGGTGGGCAATACCCACCTAGGAGTCAGAGAGACTGTTTTCCCCAGACAGAATGGAGTTTATGGTTCCCAGGATCATGGTTCTTTTGCTACCTTTTGCCTATGTATGCATGTATCAAGTTGTTACCCAAGTATAGACACATATGATCTACTAGTATGAAAGTGGGATAAAAATAATAGTATAGATAAGAATCACCAAGTGATTATCATGTACTAAGAATCCTCAACGTTAATGTCATTACCAGCACCTTTAGGTGAATTAATTGGGATGAAAAGGACAATGTGACTGGCTAAGGTCACAGAGCCGATAAGTACTGGTTCTTCAATCCAAATCCAAGAGGTCTGACACACAATGTCCATCTGCCCTCTCTCCACCCCTCTACGTACCAGCTTTATGGAGAGATGATTCGTATACTCTGTAATTTACTCATTTGAAGTATTCAGTTCACTGGATTTTGGTCTACCAACACTTGTGCATCCATCTATCACCACAATCAAATTTAGAACTTTTTAATGCCCCCAAAAGAAACTCTGTACCCCTTGGCAGATACTCTCTACCTCTCCATCCACTCCAATGCTCAGTCCTAGGCAACCATTAATGTATTTTCTCTCTCTATGGATTTGCCTATTATGGACATTTCAGGTAAATGGATTCACATTCTACATGAGCTTTTGTGCCTGGCTTCTTTTACTAAGTATATTTTTAGGGTTCATTTATTTTGCAGCATGCATCAGTACTTTACTGCATGGATATACCACATTTTATACATTCCATTGTATGGATATGTCACATTCTGTTCATCCATTCATTACAGACATTTGAGTTATTTTCACTTTGGCCTACAATGAATAATGCTGCTATGAACATCTGTGTTCAAGTTTATGTGTGAACATACACTTTTATTTTTCTTGGGTGTATACTATATACCTAGAGTGGAACTGTTGGATCATTGGGTAATTCTACGTTTGGGCACCTGAGGAGCTTCCAGGCTGTTTTGCATTCACATTAGCACGGCATGAGGGTTCCAGTTTCCTCCCATCCTCTCCTATGTTTATTATGTGCCTTTTTAATAGCTGCCTTTTTGATTATAGAATGGTACAATCTACATTCATAACTCCTACATCCACAGTCTCAAGTAAGATGAGTACCAAATCTAATTTACAGAAGTATTAGAAAAATGCTGCCAGGTACCACAGTTTTTGTAAATTGTTTTTGGTACCAGGGATTAAACCCAGGGGTGTTTAACCACTAAGTCACATCCCCAGCCCCCCTTTTAAAATATATTTTATTCAGAGACTGAGTCCCATTAAGTTGTTGAGGCTGGCTTTGAACTCACAATCCTACCTCAGCCTCCTGACCAGCTGGGATTACGGGTATGCTCCACTGTGCCTGGTTGTAAACTCTTAATAGAGCTATGGATTCTCCCAAGTTCTTATTAATAACAATTTTTTTTGCTATGCACCATAATGAATTCAGGTTGACAGACATCAAACCTATATGATTTGGTTGATTTTTTTTTTTAAAAAAATGAAGATTCCTATAAATGTTGATGTAGCCAATCCAAATGCTGTCAATTTCCTTGGCTCATGATGATGGGATGTCCAGATCAACTTATCATAAGTTGAAAATATCATTAAGAGGAAATGGCATTGAACACCCCTAACTTAGTGAATGTCCTGGCCTAGCCACAGAGCACATTGTGGTCCTGGTTGTTTCCCACCATGATGATGGGGCTGGCTAGGAGCTCTGCCCAGCATCTAGAGAGACATTTAGACCACATAGTGCTAGCCTGGGAAAAGATCCAAATTCAAAACTTGAAAGGCAGTTTCTACTGAATGTGTATACCTATCACACCATTAAAGTTGAAATATTACTAGATGAATCACTGTAAGTTGGATCCCGCTTATAAAGGGTTTTCACAATCGAGGTGTCATTCTGATAAAGGGAATTACTTGAGTTGATCACCACTTAGTGCTCTTGCCCAGGACTTTACCTGCATAAATTGAAGGGAGGCCTCAAAGTCTTCCACTGGATACATTTTAATTCGAAAGAATTTCATTCCCATTATCAAGCTGATAATGCTCTGCACCACATACGGATTTTGCTCTTTGTGCCGTAATTCTTTTAACTCTGCCATAAACTTCTTCTTGACAGCAGGGAATCTACAAAAAGAACATAAGTGGTTTATCAAGTGACAGGAAAGCCATGCAGTGGGGGCTGCCAGCACCATGCAATGGCTGCCAGCACCTAAAGTTACAGTGCATGGTCATCAGATCCTTAGAAACAGGTGAAGTACAATGACTGTCATTTCACAAGGATTTGACATTCGGGATTTGGTAGAGTCCAATTTTCTCCTTTCCCCCTCTTATTCGACAAGATGCTTCACTTCTCCTTTAGACTAGGGAACAGACCCAGCATTATTTAGACTCTCTCAAGATGGTTTAGCTCTTAAATTGAGCAGACAAAAAGCTCCATTTCCTCGGGCTTAGCAATTTCCAACATACTTACAGACCTCCAGGGCCTAAAGTGTCAAATTTTGAGTATGTGAGTAATAACATACTAGGGTCAGTTATTTCTGATGGTGACAGCAAATGATTTTTGGACTTAACAAATAAGGCCAAAGATATTCTGACATCTATTTCCAAAATTTTCTCCTGTTGTTCCTTGATAGTTTTAGATTAATGCTCATGGAAAAATATATTTTTAAGTTGAAGGAAAAATCTAGTAATGGGAAAATCTAGTAATGGGAAAATTATGTTTAAAAGATATGGGCTGTCTATTATATGTATAGGATTTTATAATTTAATGTGGTGAATATGAAACCAAACAAAAGAAACTTATTTGTATTATCTGAAAGCAAAATAATATTAATTACAACACCAACAACCATGTCATATGAGTTTAAAAAAAGAATGGCTTTTTAAAAACCTATGAGAGATTTTTTTTTAAACTTCTGAGATATGCTGCTTTGATTATTAGTTAAAAAACAAAAAAGAAAAACACAGAAAGCCAGGTATGATTAGAAAACATACTTGTGATTACAAAAGCTAAAGGCAAACTAATAGAGGCAAACCAACAGAATCACAGAAGTTGGGAACAATTCTTACCCCAAAGTAGAAGTTTTAGGACACACAATAAAGGTAGCTGAGCACATAGACCGTTTCCCAAATGGAAAGGGGCCAGTTTTGGGGGTTGGGGAGAAATTACATGGTGTTCATTTTATAACAATTTGTTAAACTATATATTTGTTTTATGGGTTTTTATATATATTTGCTACATGTATTTCACAATAAAAAGATTTTACAAAAGCAATAGAGCAGAAAATATAAATAATTTCAAGGCACAAATACTTTATGAATGAGATATTCTCTAATGGGTTGTTAATGTAGTTAAGGATATTTCAGGATTTATTCCTAATCTGTGGTGGCATTTTGTGGCTTTCTACAAAACATTCACTTTCAAGACAGCATTCCAAACAGGCCCATTCTGACATTTCTTAAATACTATTGAATATTAGTTGTGTTTACTTTACAAGTAAAATATCATGGAGACTAGTTGGAAGATTATATATTACTTTTTAGGATGAAGAAATCAGCAAAACTGAAATGCAATTTTTATTTATAAAACTTACAAAATAGATTTGATATCAGATAACATCTATTTGAAGAAGTTTTAAAACTACACTGTTGATTATTTTGGAATATAAATTCAAAGCTCCAATGTCATCATCCTTTCCTAAATCTTATAGATAAAAACTGATGGAGATGATGATGATAGTAGCAAGCAGATACAGTACCCACTCCACGCCAGCCATGGGCCAGTTACATATAGTGACTTATCTAATCCTCAACAACACTGTGTGCAGGTTCAATATTATATCATTTTTTTTAATGGAAGAGGAAACTAGGGAAAGATTTCATAACCTGATAAAATTCCATAGCTGAGAGGCTCAGAAGTTAGCATTTGAAGCCATGTCTGGTTCTAAAATCTCTATGTCTAAACCAGTTATTCTCAAAAGCACGTTCTCCAGATTGGCAGCATCTGGGAGCTTACTAGAATTCACATTTCTGGACCTTCCCCAGACCTACTTTTATGGACTAAAGTGTCCCCAACTCTGGATCATACAAAGAAGTACTAATTTCATGTATCTCAGAATGTGACTATGTTTGGAGTCAGGGGCTTTAAAGAGGTGATTGAGTTAGGGTGGCCCCCATCCAATATGCCTAGAGAACAGAAGAGGAAAAAGTATGTCCACAATGGGAAAGGACCTCATGAGGACATAGGGAGAAGGTGGCCACCTGCAAGGTCAAGGGAAAAGTCATAGAAGAAACCACTTCAGCCAGCACCTTGATCTTGAACCTCTAGCCTCCAGAACAGTGTGTAAATAAATGTCTGTTGTTGAAGCCATCCAAACTGTGGTCCTTTGTTACACTGTCCCCAGGAAACCAATACGTCTGAGTAACTGCCTAGCCAATGACGAGTGTACGGATTGAAAGTGAGGTGACTTGAGAAGGCCATGAACACTTTCTTCAAGCACTAAATCATTACATGGAAGAAAATGAAGGGAAAACTTATGGCAAAAAGACATTTGAAAATGGAATGAACTCTAATATATAATATAATTTACTTGTCTATGGGATTTGTTGGTTGTCTGAATCCACTGATGAATTGTAAGTGCCACAAGATCAGGCACATAGTAGGTGCTCGGTACATGTTCTGAGTGGGTTAATTTCCTTTGGGGGAGATAGTGAGTTTCCTGTCATGGAGGCATGTAAGCAGAAGCTGAGCAGGTCACTGAGAGGTCTCTTGCAGATGGCACATGGCTAGGCTACTTGAAGGTCCTTTTCAAAGGTGAAATTTTGTGAAGTCTGATTTTACTTCTACTGATGAATGAAATAAAGGCGATTTTCACAGAAAAAATACACATTTAAACATCTGTTCTTACACCTTTTATATTTGACTAAGCAGAGGTAGGAAAGACCAGGTTATTTGTATAACTCAGTCTATCGATCTTCTCATGAGATGGCTGCTAAAACTTTATTTCTCATTTAAAAATAAGTATGACTGTCTTTTACTGTTGAAAGTTCCAAATGATATGAACATGTTATGTTAGCATAAAAGCAATCCAAAAATCCACTTCCCTTACAATGATTATAGGGAAAAGCCAATTTTTCAGTGACCTTTTCTTTAGAACTTAGACAAATACAGTAAGTAAATATTCAGCCTTTGGCAATACTATACATTTCACATGAAGATATATTGTGCATATGCACAGCATATATTTTTAACCAAAGTACACAGAAAAATCTAATTTTAACTTAATTTACTTTGAAAAAGTCAATACTATGTATGGATATCTCTTAATAGGAATACATTCCTTACTGATAGGAATTAAGTAGCATTATTACCAGGAATATTAAAACAGTGATTCTGCTAAAACTCAAAGACCAAGTAAGCCTTAAAACCTGAAGTTATAATGTGGAAAATATTTAATATGCATTACCATTGGAAACTAGATACACAATCTAACATTCAAATTATTATAATACTTATAAAAATAAAAAATGTTAATCACACTGAACCAGATTTTAAAAAAAAGTGTTGAGGGGGGGTGTTTAATCTCCTTGAGAATAAGAGAAGCAGTACTTTTCTAAAGTGAAGATAAAGAAATGGTCCTGGTATACTTATGAGAACGAAGACGTAATTCATGGTATGACACTAAGGTAAGATTGTATTATCTATCAATAAAAGTTAGCTACACATTGCCTGGTTGAGAACATACCATGGGCTATTTGAGTCTGATCACTGCAAGAGCAGACTGGCCAAGGTACTTTAAAAACAAAATCTAATTTTAGCTTAATTGACTTTGAAAAAAGCCAATACTATGTGTGAATATCACTTAGTAGTAAAAAAAATTTCCCTGAAAGACAGGAATTAAAGAGTTCCCCAGCGACTGGAAAATACTGAAGCAGTGTCCAAATTGAGACATTTTTAACACTTAGCTATTGCAGAATTGGGACAAATATCGACGTCAAGAAACTGAAAAAAGCCACTGTTGGCAAGAAAATACTGGCTCCGTGGATCCTAGATGTATCCTAATATGGAAGCTCCTGCAATCTCAAACGCTACTCAGTTTTGACATTATTTCTCAATTTATTCAAAATGTATGGAACTAAGGGAGGTCATTTGACAGTATCTGATATTGTTATGCATAATTCTTAAAAATAGGAATAACACACAAAAAAGCCACTTTTGGAATACTAAGCTGTCCAAATGAGAGCACAAGAGAATTAAGCCAAGATAATTACAAAGAAATATGCTGAGATTTTCAGAGTTTAACAAACCAGCAAGTATACATATCAATACTTCCTTCTTTGGATCATTTTTAGGAATGTGGAAGATACACATTAGTTAATTTTCAGATACTTGCAACTTATCCAGTTAAATACTTATGTCTTTATTTCCTACTTGCAATGGAAATTTCTCCAAAATGCACATTTATCCCTTAATGATTCATGAACCACAATTATAATAATAGCTATCATAAAAGTACAACACAGACTCATACAAAAAGGTCCAGATAATAGAATTGGGAATACAGAATTCTTCTGAATGCTTTAGCAAGTTTGTTTCTTCTTTTGCTGTCAGCTTTTGATCTGTATTGCCCTCCACAAAAATTCATTCTCTACCTTCTAACATTGATGAATTATGTTAGGAAAAAACAGGTAGTTGGGATGAGTAGATACATTGGATTAGACTAAATAAATCAGGCCAAGGATTTTTTTTGGGGTCTATGTCCCAAGTTCCTGTCTACATTTTGGCTAGGTAAGGTTGCTGAATAAGTATTTCAAAGTTTAGAAAAGTTGTGTATTTACATGCTACTCACTTAGGAAATTCCATCTATTAAAGATAGAAATCTCTTTGCAGGATTGTCTTTCCCAAGGATTGGGGCATCAACAAAGCCAACTGGTCTCTTGGCTTAAATTCTCCTTATGTCTCTGCCTCATTTTGCCCAAAGTAGGCATTTGGGATCTTGCTTGGTTTGCCTCAGGGTTGGATAAAATGAAGATGGGTAAGTATGGTGTGACATCACTTTTTGGAAAGAAGTATGTTATTGCTAATAGTCTAACACTATGTTCTAGCCTGTTAAATGGAGTTATGGGGCCAGATAAATTTAGTAATGAGAACTCCCCCACCCCCACTTGTTTCCATGGCAGACGCTGGGACACTTTTAGCTCAGCTGAATTAAGTAAGGTCTAGAGTAAAGGGGACATTCTAGAATGGAATTTTTCCATTCATGAATGATAGATTGCTACCACCCACTCGTGGACTATAGGAAACAAAACCTGAAAAAAAAAATTGATAAACACCTTTAGAATATCTGAACAGACAGAAAAGTAATTTGGTGAGTCCATTTCTTTCTTTGAAGCAGTTGTCTGAAACCCATGGACTCAGTAGGATCTGGCCCAACTGCCTGGGTGAAAAAGTTAACTAGGTACCGGCCTTGGAGGAGCCTCTAATTAGTTTTAGGGGTGGGTATGCTTGGTAAAAAGAACCTGAGTTCCTTGTGAGCTCACAGCTGTCCCTCCTTAAGTCAGAGGCACTCCTATGTTCTCGGTCAAGGGCTTCGGGGCTCACTTACTTAGCTTGTGCTAACACTCCAATGACTTCGGCATACAGATCGGCCACAATGTGCATGTTGCCCGTGTTAGGACCAAGATACCTAAATAAGGAAAAATTAGACAAGTTAGGATCTCTGCTCATCTGAAAAAAATCAAACCAGTGATTCAGTTTTAAGCACCCAACTTCTTCAAAACTCTAAGGCAAGAAATCACCTTACCCTTCTTTGTATTTAAAGTGCTTGAAAGCCAAGTTAATAACATCATGAATTAAACCATCTATTACAGGATGAAGTGGAATCTGAAAAACAAGGATGACTTTTAACTTGGAAGGGAATATTAAGGAGAAAATCAGTAATAGTACTTCCAATAACTATGCCTGTTCTTCAGCAATCAATAAACATACTTCATATGACCCAGAATTTGGAATTCATAACCAATTTCATGAACTGTGACTTTCAAAACTTAAGCATTATTTTCACATTGATAGACATCAACAAAGTAACAATAATTGATTACCCACCTGCTTCAATACTTCTATTAATACTAAAGAAAAAATAAAATCGATGGCGAGGTCCCGTCTTTCCATTAGATAATCTCGCTGCTGTTCATCACTGCAAAATTTAAAACACATTAAATGGCAATAAAGATATTATCAGAGTGATAGAATTCATCAAAAACGTAGAACTCACTCCCACTGGACTGTAAACCCATTTTTACTACAAGGGGTAAATGCCTGCTAATGCTTATTCTGCTGTTATTGGGGTACAGAGGATAAACATTGGATTGGAAGTCCAGAATCCCTGACTTCAAATTTGAAATTTCAGACCACATGAACCTGAGTTGCTACAAGTGAGTCCATTATTTCCTTTTGTGGAATTTTTTTATTTATATATGACAGTGGAATGCATTACAATTCTTATTACACATGTAGAGCACAATTTTTCATGTTGCTACCCAGGATTCCTATCATTTGTAAAATGTGAGGCCCACACATGATGGAGTGACCAAACTGGAGGTGTGTGGTGACAGGATCTCATGAAAGGAGTGACATAATGTAGTAATATAATGCAAGAATCTTGTGAATGGAGCTAAATAAGAACTATTATGACTGGCAATCAGAGCAGGACAACAGGGAATGGAGAAAAGATCTGCATTTCTTTTCTTTTTCTTTTTTTTTTTATTTTTTTTTAATGACAGGATTCTGTATTCTTTTCTTTTTGCCCTTTGGAAGAAGAGGGAGGAGCAGCAAAGCAGAGACTCATTCAAAAGTCAGAAATGAAAACGGAACTGACAAAGGACAGGATCATGCCCCAACCCCAGTTTTTGCTGACTGGATGAACTGAGAGCTCATTTGCAGTTGAACAAAGAAAGACTCGTAAAATGAATGCCCAGTCCCTTGGCACAGGATGGTGGTTAAGAGCACTTCGGTGTGGAACAATCCAGGCTTCAAACTATGCCTCTTCTAATTACCAGCAATTTCTCCAACAAGAAAACAGGAATAGTAAGTATACTACCTGAATGTTACTTAGGACCAGAAGTCTTTTGGATTCTAAACTTTCAGATTTTGGAATATTTGCATACACATAATGAAATTTCTTGGGGATGGGACCCAAGTCTAAACACAGACTGATTTGTATCTCATATACTACTTCTCCACATGGCCTGAAGGTAATTTTATACACTCTTTTTAGTATGTTTTGACTGATCTGTCCCATAAAGTCAAAATGTGGATTTTTTTTTTTTATTTGAGATGTCCATGTCAGTGCTTGGAAATTTTTAGATTTTGCAGCATTTCAGACTTTGGGTTTTCAGATTGGGGATGCTCAAACCTCTACTTAAATAAAGGTTTGAGAAGATAAAGCTTGTTTAGTGTTTAGCACAGTCTCTTAAGCACATACATACTCAATACCTGTTGATGAAGGATGACAGGATTTGGACTTGAAGGTATTTTGAGAATAAATCAAGACCTATCTTAAAAATGGAATGCTTCTATTTTCAGTCAAGAGGGAATGTGAACAAAGCAGGGTGGTTTTTAAGAGGTAAATCAAGAAATTCTAGAGGTGCTTTGTAACCTTGAGCAAGGTCAATTTAAGCCTGATGGACAAGGGAACATTAGCGAGGGAGCCTGCAGCTTTACCCTGCAGGTGGAAATGTATTCACAGGGCAGGAACATTTAGGAACATTCATGACCATCTTGCCAAGAGGAAGAGTAGTGGAGAAAACCATCTGTCTGAAGTCCTTTAAGATCCTCTAGGGCTACAAAATGCTACTGCTAGCCCAGGAAACATGTAGAAAAAGGAAGGTATTCAGTAGTCAGGCCTTATATTCATTATATCACAGAATAAGGAATCAGGAAGTTTGAAATCAAGAGGAAGGCAAATTCTCAAATATGGCCAGCAGAAGTAGAGAACACTGTTTGTGTCAGATGGTTGGCAGGGGTCTACAGAAATGGTCAGAAAACCCTGAAAAAGAAGTTGTTCTTAACATAAAAAATTAACAAACCTTTGATTGTATCTAATAAGCCAAATTGGGCTTTAAAATAAAAGACATACTTCTCTAGTAATGAATTCGACTTTATTGCTGGTTTGAAGTCTAACTGCCGGGAGCCAGAGGCATTTGACAAATTTATTTGGCAGTGCAAATGTTGATATTATACTAATCTTAGAAATCATAACCCAACGTCTGCCCCTCCGATTTGACTATTTTCAGTTGCCTGACTCCTCCCTACAGTTCCTAATTTAGCTGCATCTCAGATGCAGGATGCTCTAGAGACCCTCATTCTGCCAGCTTTTTCCCAAGCACACATTCTCTCATTTTAAATGCTCAAATGTAACTAAAGTGAACCCAAGTCAAGTTTTATTGTCTTGATTCTGTACATATCGGACTTCACCTATCTCTCTATAATAAAGTCGAATTTATTACTATTCATTCATAGTAATAAAGTCGAATTCATTACTAGAGAAGTATGTCTTTTATTTTAAAACAAATAGTAACACAATTAAAAACCTTATTTTCAATCCCTAAAAGAATCAATTCATGAAAAATCTAGTTTTGATAACTAAATTCTGACAAAATAGTGGAGCAGACTAAAACTCAATTCAACTCATTAGAACTGCTGCACCCCCCCCTCCCCCGGAGTTACCAGTTCTCATGTAAGATGGGAAATAATAAAATGATCCCCTGCATTTAATGGTCATACAGAATGACCATTTCTAGACACAGAATATAAATTTTGCCTTTAAAATTAGATAAATTTAAAAAGAATTTCTGAAGAGATAATAGGTAATAGTTTCTTTTTGGCATGATAAAAATGTGTATAGAAAGCTGGGCTTGTGGCTCAGCGGTAGCACACTCGTCTTGTATGTGTGAGGCCCTGGGTTTGATCCTCAGTGCCACATAAAAATAAATAAATAAATAAATTAAATAAAGGTATTGTGTCCATCAACAATTAAAAAAATATTTTAAAAAAGTTCATAGATAGTGTTGATGATTTTATAACCTCAGGAATATACTGAAAATACTGGATTATTACTTTAAAACTGAGTGTTATGGTATGTGAATTATATTTCACTAAAAGTTTCCTTCTCCACTATGAATCTCTCCTTCAAATAAAATGATAAACAACAGAATCTTGCATAAATGAGATTATCATAAAATGATGTTACAAATTTAGATGAAATATAATTTGGTAAAATTACAGATCTTCAATTTCAGAAGAAGTTTAATTTTTTTTTTTTAAACAAAAGTACTAGTACTGTCAAGAAAAATGAAGGATAAACCACTTCAAGAAAGCAGTTAATATCTAATTTTGATTAATTAATTTCAGTTTAC